CCCTGTCCTGCCTGCCGGCGTCCCGCGGGCGCGGAGCCGATGGGGATGGGCGGGGGGATGCGCCTGAGCCGCGTCTGCTGCGTTTTCTACCAGCTGTGCGTCCTGTCAAGCGGGCTCGCCGCAGGTAAGTGCGCGCCTTCCGCGGGACGGGGCCGAGCCTCGGGGCGGCCTCCGTGCTCCGCCGGCTGCCGGTAGCCAGTACCTGCCCACAGTTAAGCGCCTTAACAGCTGTGCCCGTCCCTTGTAACCGATGGGTGATCAGACAATGCGTGCCTCCGCTTTGAGGGCGCATTGCAGTGCCCTCGTCAGTACGAGAAGCTGGTTTTTATACGCAGCCAAGTCATCTCAGCAGTGCTGTTCCTAGCGTGTGTAGGATGAAGGTGTAAATACAACTGTCTTCTGTCTTAGGCCGGTGGAGGTTGTGTGTACTCGTATGTTTATAAATATAATGCTGGTGTGGGGGCAATTTTGGTTGAACTGTGATACGGTGTGTGTCATATGCAGACATCACTAATTAGTGATTATAACTCAGTTTGTTTACAATGATAATATAGCGTGTGCGTGCATCTGTCACTTGTAAGTGCACTTGGAAACATGCGGCCATGGGGTGCGTGTGCATTTGGCTGCATTTTTAAATCATAATGATCTTGCAAAACATGCTGCGAACAAGGTTGACATTTTCAAATGTTTTTGTTGAGGTTTTCCCTGCTAAAGTAACAATTCTTTTTTAGCTGTATGAAAAAGTTGCCACTTTGTCTAAATTATGAAAGGTTTGTGCAGTTCTCCTTATGTGGAGGTGGTGGTCATGAAGAACAGCCCCGGCTACTGGTGCAAACACAACTTCTGTCCAGCTTGAGCTCCAGCTCTGTCTCAGTGTTTACCAGCACAGGGGTATGTCCCAGACCCCCGAACAGGCACAGAGATCCCATCTAGTGGCTGGCCTGTCTGCCATATGTAAGGAGAGGATGAAAGGGTCAAGTGGAGCTCACTGTATTTTGAATGGCATGCTTGGCGGGCTGGGAGCCAGAAGGAGCGTGTTGTGGGGGCACAGGGTAGGTTTCTGGCAGTCATTGTGTGCTGCTGAGTGCTCCACTCATTTAACGCATCTGCTGTCTTCCCACAGGTCTCCATGCTTCAGAAGAAACTGAGGAATGGGAGATCGTCTTCCCCGCACTGTGGAGCAGGGGCCAGCAGGAGCCGACGGGTGGCAGTGGTGGTGGTGGGGGCTGCAGCACCGACCCCAGCTGTGGGAACCGGAGCAGCACCCTCAGCGCCCCCGTCACAACTAGCCCAGTGGCCGGCAGCTCCCGGGAGGTGCGTTCAGTCTCCTCTTCAGTGGAGGGGCAAGTGCAGGCTGCAGAGGAGGTGGCAGAGGAAGAGGACACTGAGGATGAGTATGAGTCTCAAGAGTTTTACCACTGGTCCCCCCTGCCCCAAGGGTCTGGTGCTGCCTCTCAGTTGCCACCGCCACCATCGCCCCCGCCACCACCTCCAGCAGAGGATGGAGATGAGGTGTTGCTGAGGATCCCGGCTTTTGCTCGGGAGCTCTACCTGCTGCTGAAGAGGGACAGCCGCTTCCTGGCTCCTGGCTTTGCTGTGGAGGAGCGGCTTGGGGGTGAGGGCAAAAGCCCACCCAGCGCTGCGCAGTCGCAACCTGAGAGAGCTTGTTACTACAGTGGTGCTGTCCTCCGCTACCCGGGCTCCTTTGCCTCCTTCAGTACCTGTGGTGGATTGGTAAGATGGCCTTGCATGCAGGGGTAGCAACATCAGCTTCATCTGCTGTTTTTCACTACCATCCCTTTCCTGAGGTCTTTCTTTCATATCTTCTTGGGTCCTACCTCTGTACTTATCCTTATTTTTAACCATTTTGCCATTCATACTTCTATTATCCCACTCGTAATTTCTCTCAAATCCTACTTCTGCCTTTATCTTGTGAAGTCTCTATGTTCTTTGACCCATTTCCAGGTACACTTTTGTCTCTCAGTCCTATACTTTTCTTTTTTGGATCTCCTTTTTATTCTTATGCCATTCTTTCTTCAGCTTTTCTCTCTCCATCCCTAATTTTATCTTGGTCTTCAGTGTGTGCCTGTAATTAGTTACCTCCATGCTCACTCTTCTTCCTTTTCCCGGTATCATCATCTCTCCTCCAGTCCATCTGTAATCCATTTGTTCTTCATTCCCATCCTATATTCTAAAGTTATCTTTTTCATCTGTGTCATCTTCCGTATGTTCTACATCTCAGTTCTCAGACTATTCTCTTTCCTACTTCTACCAATATTTTATGTCTGCTTTCTCATCTTCATTATTCCTTGTCTTTCATTTCTCTCATCCCTTTAGCTTTTTTTGTCTACCTCACAACTTCTGCATGTGCTACCTGTAGCTACTTGGATTTGGGACTCCATACCCTTCTTTCCTTTCAGTTCCTCCACAGAAGTACGCAATGAGTATGTTGTCAGCAGAAATGTTAATACAGTCAGAGCTTTTGGATTGTTATTAATTCTGTGGCATGCCTCCCTTATTTAAAACAAATTTCACCTGCTATGATTTCTGTTAGATCAGTCATGATTTTTACCAGATAAAGACCAGAATTGGGCACCCTGACAACAGCAGTGGTGATCCAGTGAACTGCAATCCCAAGATACTTGAGGGTGGGTGGAAAGAGTAGAAAGCAGCTGGGATGATGTAAAAAACTGGCAGGATTTAAAACAAAAACAATTATTACTACTATTATTCTCATTTTGGGCCTTTATAGAGCGTTATAAACGCTCATGCCTGAAGAATATAGAATACAAACAGTAATGGCGCTAGGGAGAGTTAACATCATCATCATTAAACCCATCATTGGGTTTTTTTGGGTGGCTAGATGGGTGTAAATCACCACAGTCACATGATAGATGTTTTCTTGTATTTCTTTCCGAATTTGAACATCTAACTTGTTCCATTATTGATTCATGAAGATAGCCTGCCTGGTTTTTATTTGCATGGTCATGAAGTGAAACCAGGTAAAATGTGGAAATTTTGACTGCTTATTCATTTGCCTGTTTGGACTTATTCAAAAGTCAAAACCCAAACTGAAAGTGGCAGAGAGAGAACTTATGTGGATTGACACCAAATAAAATATTTGCCTGCACTCCTGCGAAGTGAAACCGCCAAGTTTCACACAACTCTTAAGTGGTTGGCATCTCATTATTGACATTTTGTCAGATTTTCCAAAGCATGGTAGCAGAATTAATTGTGAAGAAAAATATTGAAAGTCAACTGAAGGTGGTTTGAAAGGAATCAGGTAAAGGATTTTTATGTTCTGGAAAAGCATTTGACTTCTGTACTCCTTGTTAGAGTTTTACTTCCTTCTACATTGCATATGGGTAAAATTAGGCTAGAGAAAATCTTTGCAAAGAAATTGGTAGAGATAATTATCACAAATGCCTGCTCAAAAGTGATGTACATCATTGGGTATCTGTAAATCCTCTGATTTGCAAATTGGAATTCACTGTTTAAATAGACCCCAGATCCCTAGGAGCCCCATTCGTAATTTTTGATTCACTCAGACTTTTCCTAGGAGTACCAGCTTACTCACAGCCTACCCAGCTGTCTAAGCATGCATATGTCCAGATCATGCTCTCCATTCAGAAGGCTGCAGCTGAAATATAAACTCTTCCGTGTATCTCAAATAAAACTGGAAACTGTTGTTGATGTTGAATGGTGGTGTCATGATCTTCAACTGCATAGTCTTGTTTGCAGTGAAATAGTTAAGCAGCTGTTCTTCCTGAGAGTGTTGCTGTGTCAGGCACATAGTTTAAAAAAATTGTACAGTGCTATTATATCAAAATTGTCATAAAAAATCTGAACTTATTTGTCATTCTTTATTCAGTCATTGCTTGGGCTCTATTACATATGTAAGTTGCTCTGTTTCCAAGAGTATTGAAAAAACATCATACATACATTGCGTATTCCACCGTTTCCTCTAGGCCTTGCCCTGCAAAAAGAGCCAAGCAATGTTTAAAGCTAGATTGTCTTCTTTAAGATGTAAAAATCCATTGAAACTTGAACCTAAAAATATTTTACTGTAGTTACCTCAATTACCGTTTATTTATTAGTTTTAAATATAAAGAAATTGCAGAGAAAATATGGTATGAATGTCCTGGATATACTGTCATTTCAAAGCCTTACAGACTTTGGGTTAGGATTACTAGGCTACATACACTTTGGAAAGCCAAACGCGTGGTCTGTAAGTCCCTTAACATGCAGCTTAGATTCCACTTAGCAATTTTTCTTTTCCATGTGAAATGCAGCATCTCTGTCTAACAAGAAAACTTCCACCATTCTGCTTTTTGGATAGTAGTCTTTTAGTGCATCTCTTTATTCACTGAGGAAAGTAACTGTAGTCTGACAGACAGCAGTGATTTTGCCACACAGGAGGAAGGGTGAAAGACTATAAAGGCCAACAGAAAAGTTTTGGCTATCATGTGCAGGCTAGGGTCATACATGGCAGTACAGATGTGTGGCTGATGCTGTAGGGCTAGTTTTGTGAAAAGATACCCTGTCTTCACTAAAATGAAAAAGAGGCTTTTGCATGAAATTGTTGTGCCATCCAAGTTAGGATGTTGGTGTTGCTTCCAACTTCTCAAGGCATGGAGAGACCTGATGTGCCAGTGACATTCAGGAAACTGAAAAAATGTCTATGTAGAAATCTTAACTCTTCCTGCTCTAGGCAGAAAGACAGAAGAATATTGTTGCAGATGTTAGGCACCTTATCCTCTTGAAGTGGGATTTAGATGCTTTTTGAATAGTTCACTGGTTGCAGTTCGGTAAAACATGTAACATGCAGCACAACGTTAAAGCTTCCGTATTTCTTATTTCCTAGCTCTTGAGAGCTTCAGTAGTGTGTTTTTTCTTGAGCTCTTTGACAAAAGACAGGGAGGGTTGATGATAATGGGGTTCATAACATACCATGTTAATCATGTGAATACGCAAGTGAAAAACGAGAACTGTACTCCCAGATAATTACTAACCAAATTCTGACTGCCAGCATTAGCTTCATTTGGCAACCCACCTTGACAAATGAAGGAAACATTAACTTGGTGGGTATTTTCTAGTCAGACTAAAGGCTGGAGATATGCATGGACTGTCTAGAAACTCCATCACCGTGACCTTTGTGTAATCTCAGAGCTCACATGATCAATGGTGACAGCGCTATCCAACTCCTTGGTAAAACACCCGTGGATTCTTACATCCTTTCGTAGCTCAACGGGATTTGCTCTGAGTATGTTTTGGGATTCTGCACTGGTGCGGCATGAAGATTAATAAGGAGAGGTTTCCAAGAATTCTCCATCTGTATGCTGACTGCTTACTTGCTGTTCATTGTTAGCCAACTACCAGGATGTAAGCAGTACTGCTGATGCCAGTGAGACGGCTCTTCTGAAAGTGATGCATTGCAAAGCTGGACCATTAATTATTTAGATGGTTGTTTCTACTGCTTGCTTGTATTTTGCCATAATATTTGAAATAAGGAAAAAAAAGCATGTCAAATGTTGTTGAATAGTTTTATTTGTAACTGGTAAAATATATAACTTACAACTCATAGTTCTTCCAAAGCATGCTGTAGGAGAAACTGACTGTGGACTTAGAATAAAGAAATCAGGCTACTGGTTCATTACCAATGATCTGCTCTGCTACTAGCATGGAAGTTGAAGTAGTCTCACTGCATTTCCCCAGAGCGAGCTGTGAACACGGCAGATGTGTACTTTATCCCCTACTCCTTTAATTTCAGAAAGAGAGGCATTTAATGTTGTTTTTTCTCAGCACTGACTTGCTTAGGTAGTACTCTATGGCTATGTGGTGGCAGACAGGGATTTTCCCAATGTTTCGTTTTCTTTTTAACTGAAGCAGTCTGCATAAAATAGAGAACAGCTAGGTAGAGAAAAGATTTGAATGTCTTTTTATACCTAAAGCAATGGGATATGTTTAGACTGTCGAGAAGTGCAAATAGGAGTAAATGTATACACAGAGGATGAATAGGAGAATGCAGGTTCATAGAGCTATGCTGTTCCTTGCAGCACTTAGCAGGTTGCCTACCAGCACACGTGTGGAGATCTGCCTGAACAGACAGCATTGCTCACTGGGTTAGTTTACTGGAGAGAAGCTTTGAAATTAGTCTGTGTGGTTCTGTGTTTTCACTGGATCCTAAGAATGTGAAATGGTCAACAGCATACTTGCAGTTCTCTAAATCCCTGAAGAGTCAGAGTCAAATACTATTTACAGTGAAAATTAATGTGCATTTTCCCAGTGACTTGAGTGGGAACAAGTTTTAAGACATCTCTGAGGCAGTCCAGGGAAGACCTCACTCTAGAGAAGTGTATGGTGCTTTTATTAGGCCTCATGGCCATTTACAAGTAGGTATTTAAAAATCTGATCAACGGTTCATCGACAAGTAGTCACAGATTTACTCCAGCTGTTACACATAAATTCAAAGAGCACTATCCAAAGCAATGCTGCCAGGATCAGCAAAAGAATGGATGTCAGTAGTTCTGTGTCATGCAGAGATATGCCAAATATCATTGGACAATAACATTTTAACAGATACTTCCGATGGTAGCATTCTACTTCTACATTAAAACTGAAATAAATTAGGATGTGAAAAAAAAATGGGCCTTCTTTGGCTAATGGAATGCTTGTATGGTACTTCAGTAAGATTTTAAGAAAACCTGAAGCACCTTTACAGGAAATGCATGATT